ACTTGCATTTCAAAAAAAAAACTAAGCTGTCGGTTGACCTTTTTATTGGCCATCTAAAAATTCATTATCACTGCTAATTTGATAGAGAAAGACTTCGTGACTTACAATGTCTCGCCAAAACTCCCTGTTTCCTGGAAAGTTTTTGAGTTTGAGAAAACGGCACGAATTTATCCGAAAATCTTAATTCCGATCCTCTTATCGCAGTTCTTTTTATGATTTGCAGTGACCATTGTATCGATATGAAACAACTAATCAATTCTTATCATTATCCCTCAATTATCTTATTTGAGGGCAATGCAATGTGTTATATTTTCAAAGGCAATACTCTTTCGCGGTTGAGAGTTTCCATGCAGCAATAAATGCGTAGTAAGGCAAATGCAGTGAGAAAAAAAGAGGTAGAATAGGTTTTCAGTTCGAGTCGGATAAACAAGTAATACGTATATTTCGTGCTATTCGATCAGACGTGTACTAGCGAACGAGGATTAAACGCCTTCCGGAAACCTGCCTTCATTATTTGCCAAACGTTTGTTATGCACGCTTTCCCTTTGTCAAAAAAGGCGTCCATATCTTGTAAAAATTGTGGGAAAGTTCTTGAGTTGAAAAATTATGGAAAAGTTTAGTTTCAATGAAATTTTCGATTATTTAAAGAGAGGCATTTGTACATAAAGTTTGTTATTATGGAATAATTACTGATATTATTATGGAATAATTACTGATTTGGCGCAGAAGAGATTGTAAGTGCTGCAGATATATTTCGCAGGTATTGATAATGACGACGACGACGAAAAAGATAAGATATAGAAGGACAGCTAAAGGAGAAGAGGCACTGACAATTACTGCATGCAGAGAAACTCACATCCAATTTTTGATTTTTCTTCTTCCTCGTCCCTTTTCTGGAGCTTATTGGTGTCAACACTTTTGATGGGATCGCGAGAAGGCGACTCGGTGCTGAAATTGCATAGATCATGAAATTTATCTCGTACGAATGAATAGAAAATTCGATATTTTTTGTAATCGTCATGTATACAATATTCTTTGTATTAGTTAAACATTGAAACTTGTCTAATGATCACTGCGCTAGTGATTTCTGAGGGCGAAAGTTTCAGTATTAATTCAACTCTTGTGGACCATCACGCATTCGTTTCGATGAGCATCTCAGATTCAATC